AAATCCAATTGATAAATGGTAAATAAGAAAGAAAATAATTCTTGATACGTTGTGTAGGATTATTCATCTCATTTTTCAGCCAACTTTTGATAGTTGGATATGGTTCAAAATATTCATGCTGAGTAACAGTTCTGATTCGACTCAATGCCGGTGATGAAGATGCCGTTGCTGCTAATTCAGGAAGTTCCAATTTGTCTTGTGTATGTCCCACCATGATTCACGAGACACAGTCAATGCAAATAAACGAAGAGAAAATTGACAAAACCTTACCTTATTCGATAGAAACTGAAAGCAAAGTTTCACAAATCTCTCATATATGAGGACAAATTGTTTGTTCGATTAGGTGTGATAATCTGAATAAAAAATGTGAAAGTATAAATCATTGTTTATTTTTGACTTCAGGTGAAACAGTGTACAAGCAATGACGTACATTACATCGCATCAATAGAAAGCACACTACACTGTCATTACTTTTGTCCTTGCTTTTTTTTTCTATTCAAACTTAAGTATACATTTTTTTTTATTCAGTCATGCGAGACATAATTCTCTATATATAACTATTCAAGTGTTGCTCACATAGTTTTTGAGGAGATTGGAAAATAATGGTGCTTGAATATTCAAGGAAAATAGTGAATGATTTAAGATTGACTCTATCTAACGAAGTATTATATTTTGATGATATGTTACAAGAACTGATCAATTCTTATGAACAATGCAGTTTACTACAATAGAAGGCAAACAAAAATATGCATGCACTAGGTATCTCTAATGAACATTCGGATGTGCCTTTTGGTCAGGCAATTACTGATCATCATGTTGCCATTGCTTTTCGGAAATATCTATGTTAGAAAGAACAATTGATTTAATATTTTTCAAACAAAACAGAAAAAGTTCTCTTGTTTATCCAATCACATCTTCCAAGTTTGAGATGAACTTCAATCACGATCTAGATTTCTGATATAGCTTAACAAATACTTGACCTGAGCTAGAAAACTCAAGATATCTTATGTCAGTTTTCATCTGTAATAGAGCTCCAAAACTTCTTCTGTTGAGCGTTAGCTTATAAATGAATCTTGATTACTTGCCTATTCTTTTTATAAATCTGACTTGAAAGTTGTGCAATAGAAAAGGCTCGCGTGAGATTGTCCAACAATATAGCAAAAATGATCAATTTTGAATAAAATCCGTTGGAGAATAAAAAGTTGCAATGTTGACTGCAAATAGTGTTTCACATCAATATGAGAAGCTATTGTTATTCTACGTGTTAATAAGTCATCGGCTAATTACCAGTATAAGGAGAACTAACTGTTCCTTTTTTTCTTCTTAACAAACTACATTTGATCGAACTGAAATACTTTTATGTGTACTAGATAAATTAATCGAAAATAGATTCGATCTATCTCTTGGATAGAAAAAATTCAATGTGCTACTTTCAACTCGTGCTTTTTAGCGATCGATTAAGTCAACATTCAATAATAAATCATTGTTTTATAGAAGCGACAGTTAAAGAAATGTAGACTTAATTTCATTGACACACTTCGTGTTATTTAAATATAAACACTTATCAGATCTCTACGTAAATCAGACTTCAAAAAAAAAGAGAGGAAAGTGACCAAAGGATTCAATTATAGTGGAGATTATCAACATAAAAACCAAAACAAAGAGAATTAAAATTGAAAATATGACACAAAGATTTATTTTTTTTTAAATGATTCAAATCACTGAAATATATAAGATGCCCGTAATTCGAAATTCAAGTTAAATTTTTTTTTCGACTTTTTTATACATAGTATGATAGATCATAAGATGTTGATCATGAAAAACTAGCTTTTAACATTTGTGAATTCCTTTTTCTGGTTGAAAAATTCAAAAACAAATAGATCGGTGGTTTTTTCTCGCAAACACTACATCTTTTTCGAATTAAACAAGTGTTTATACCTTACTCTAGTTGAAAGTTTCTGAAAGTTTCTTTTTGACTCAGCATGAAAAAGTGAGTCTAAAAAGAGTATTAAATCATTTCTAATCGAAAAAGTGTATTCGAGCTGGGATATCTTCTCCTCTTGTTTTGAGCCATCGATGAGTCATTTTTGTAAATCTATCTAGGTTTTTTGTGTAAGCGATGAAGTCAAATGTTTCAGTTCTATTAATTCATAGTATTATGAGTGACAAAGTCTATACCGATTGTTTTTTTCTTTTCTTTTCGTTGTCGAGAAAAATCATGCTTATTGAATATTGCACCAAATACCTAGAATTCTGTCCGTAATTCTCAATTTTTGTTCTTCAAAACCAAGCTTTTATATAATAAAGTTGTTATATTCGTAATCAGCATCAAAAGCTGAGTCGATTCATGTATGTCTTTATTGGTTTCAATGGCTCAAGTCATTTTCGAATTTTCGGTTGAAATGATGGCGGGTATTATGACCAAAAAGTGAAAGGTCACAAAAGCTGTGGAAACCTATATGAATTAGGTGTGGATGCAGGTCAGAGCTGCCAAGCTTCCTCATTTAGCTAGGAGAATCCTACTTTTTAGACTTTTCTCTTGGTACTAGGAGCTGGTTTTTAAGGTTTGTTCCTGAGTTTTCCTGAGTTTTTTTAATTTTTTCTCACGTTGAATTTTAACGACATTATGAATCAAAAACACAAGACAAAAGAAGAAAAAAAAAGAAAATAAGAGCTATTACACTATTTGCTGAGTGCAACAATCAATAAGAAAACATGCTATTTTTGCTGATATCTTTAAAACTAAGATTATCGCTCTTATGAACAAACTTTACGCCAAAATTTACATATTGTAGATAAAAAGCAACAGCTTTTTAGTAGTTATCAAATGTTTTTCAGCCGAGAAGATGAGATTGATGAAGCACCAAATTCTTCACAGAAGAATATCTTGCCACAATATTTACAAAAATCTGAAAATCATTTTACTTCTATTCCACTAAAAAATAATTCGAAAGCTACATGTGCTTCATCATCATCATCATTATGCATCGCAGTATCTAAACGTTACTAGTCTAAATTCAGAAAAGAATGGTTATCTAATCCAAAGTATTCTTCATTTTTAAAAGAGTATAAAAATTATAAAACAACATTTTTATGTTTTATCTGTAATATACAATTCTCAATTCAAAATAGTGAAACAACTGATATAAATAGTCATATGAAAACAAAAAAGCACCAAGATTGTGTAAAATCAGCTGAACCTAATAAATGTAAGGTTTTCTCTACCAGTATTAATAATTGAATATTCTTATTAATGTTGTTTTTTTTTGTAGCAAAAAACGATAAATTCATTATTCAATTCAAGCACATCTGAACTTAACCGTTTATGTACTGTTGAAGGAGCTTTAGTATTTCACGGTGTCAAGCATTCTCATAGTTATTTATCACAATTGTATATGATTAATTTGACAAAAAAATGTTCTTCAGATTGTTCAATAGCAAAAAAAAAATAACATACAGCAAAACTAAAGTAGAACTAATGTCACTTAGTTTATATTCTTTACAGAATATTACTTACCTGCTATTTAGACTAGTGAAATTGCCTGTAATGTACTGGCGCCAGCATTTACAAATTCTATTATTTAAGATTTTCGAGATATTTCATATTTGTCCATTTGTTGCGACGCATCAAATAAAAGAAATGCGAAAATGCTGCTTATTGTTGGTCAATATTTTTCTAATTTTGGAATAAAGCATAGGATCATTGAATTCATTGAACAACAACACGATTTGCCTGATGGATTATTTCTTAATATTAAATATATTTTAGAATCAAATGCACTAGATTTAAACAAACTTAGTTTACTTGTATCAGATAATATGAATGTCATTGTTGGAAATAATCATAGTGTTTTATCGTTATTTAATCAATTAGTATATAATTTAATTGAAGGTAAATATACTATGGTCTCAAAATTCTGGATATTACTAATTTATGCAAACAGCACAAACACCCAACTTTGGAAAATCGCATATAAATCATCTTGACAAACACCCACATCTTGAAGAGTTATGCGCGCAAACACCGACAAACACCCACTTTGCAAGAGTCCTACAAAAAATAAACCATCAACAAAGACCAAAAAATGACCCCTCTCAAGACAAACACCCAGGATCTCTCTTATGATCCACACAAACACCCACAGAACTCCATAAGCTACATTCTGACACGGATAAGTGTCATCCCCGAAATACTTTTTGTAACAAACTTCCCTCTGGAAACATATAAGACCGACCCAAATATGTCTATAGACATCTATGTCTTGAAAAAATGTGTTAACAGGTGTACAAGAAGCAAATATATTATTACAAATTTACTTCATCAATTAAATAATTGTTTACGTAATGAGTTTTTTGGTTCTAAAGCCATGGAGTTATTGGAAAAAATTCCACATTCAAATGAAATTGATGATTTGAAAAGATCATTCAGATCATTCATACATGCGATTATCAAATATATTGAAGATTATTATAAAGATCGTGCTAACTCTTACAAATCAATGTCGGTTTTAAATGAAACAAATATTGATAAAATTAAATGGAAAGATTTTGAACATTGTGTTACATTTATTGATGGTAAAGATGTTGATAAAGATTGTTTATATAATGATTTCAATCATATAAAATCAAAATTTGTTGAACTTAAGAACAAATTTGATGGTATTTATAAACAAGTACAAGGATTTATTCCGTCAAATTTGATTTTATCGAAACAAGATGGAACAATGTTAAGTAATGAAAACAATGTGAAATTCAAGTTGATTCTGATTCTGATAAATGAAGAATAGGATATCAGATACTACAAAGAACACAAGAAGCATCCAAATATACGATGCGATCATTCATGAGCTTATCTCATTCATGGTGAAAATGTACCTAATTTACAAAAATTAGTATAGTTTGTTTTTTCTATAGCAGATTCGAATGCTTTTTGTGACTCAATCTTGAGTCACATGAAGTTTTTGTGGGATAATTATCGAAATAATATGAAACAAGATCTTGTTGGTGCAGAATTACAAGTTAAGATGAATAGTCAATACAATTGTATCGAGTTTTATAATTATCTTTTAAATCATCACGATCTATTGAAAAAAATTCGATCGTCAGATAAATATACTCATATTACAAAAATGCCACAG